CTCTTGGTAATGGGATCTCACTATTTCTAGTATTGTTTGAAGGGTAGATTTTGTTTCATCCCAAAATTGTCCTTTTTGTGCCATTCTGTTCCAGCTACCCAAGCGCTTAGGCCAAGATTCGAAGTCCCCGAGTCTCACAGTCCAGATTGATAATTGTATCTGTATCCTAACTGATCCCTGGCGAATTGATGCCAGCTAAACAGATATTCCAAGTTTCCAGAGTCATTTCAAAAAGTCCGCTTTGGCTAAATAGGCCTGAACCAAATTTAAACCCCCAAAGTACCAGGGTAGAATGCAATGGTTGTATCCGCGGTCCGATGGCCTAGTTCCCACAGGTTTACTAATTCCCAAGGCATAGTTTTTTAAAAGTCCACTTTAGGGTTAATTTATCCAGCCAGGCATAAAAAAATCAAAAAGAAATAAACAGGTTTCCAAACTTTAAGCAGCAGTAAAGTACACTGTCCTGGGCTTTATGTCAAAAGATTTCAGGTAGACAAAACAAAGTCCAGACTTATCAAGTATAACTTATGAGAACATTTCTTAAGATTTATAACGCCAAATTATAATATTCTTGAAGTATATTTTAAATGTATTTGAATGAGTAGTTAATGTCCCATTAATCTTTAAATTATTTTCTTTGCATCAGCTATCCCTCTCTCCAGATTTTCTGCCGCTTAATGATTGCTGAGATTGATAGCAGGTTCTTTTTTCTGTATATAGGAACTGTCTTCTCCAGGGATAATCATGTGTTTTGACTAAAGCACAAAAGAATTTTGAGAAGCTGGGACATTCAGAGCCACAGAATCCAAAAGAATGGGTTGCAGCTTTATAAGCCCATTTTTTCATCTCACTTAATTTACCTTCCAGATTGGCAGCATGCCTCTAGAACAGTGATGGTGAACCTATAGCACATGTACCACAGCTGGCACGCAAAGCCCTTTCTGCGGGCATGCAAGCCATAAGTCACCAGATCGCTGCCCCCCCCCCGCAGCCAAACCTGAGGAGGCAGCTGCAGCTGCGGTGCTGGCGCTTCGACAGGCAGCAGGCCAGGCAGCGGATCCAGAGTGGGATCTCGAGGCACCTCCATGCCCGGGATTTCCCCTTCTGCCGCCACTTCCGGTTCCGCCTCAGCACGCCGCCCGCTGGGTTTTTGGTGTCCCCCCCTCCCAGTTTGGGCACTCTGGCCCAAAAAGGTTTGCTGCCGCTGCTCTAGAATAATGCAAGGGATTGAGCAATTGTGTTGCCAAGAGAATGGGAGATGTACTGCACAGGAATCAAAATGAAAGAATACAAATTTAAAAGTCACAGAATACGAAAAGCACAAATAGTTCAAAACAACCAGATGAAGAACAATTTCATTAAGTCAGACCCATGATATGCTTTCTATGGAGGAAGGGGCTCTGCTCACAAAAACATATACTTCCACCTGATTTTCAACGAACTCACTCTCCCTGCTAGTTCACCTCATTCAGCAAGGATCTCTGACCTGCCATGTGGGCTCTTCGGAGAGCTAGAAGGATTGCCACGGGCAGAAGTAGGCAGTGAGGCCTGTTTATACCAACCCAGGGGCCTGTTCCTAAATGCATGAAAACCTAAGTAGTATGAAGTCCATGCTGTCATATTTATCCTTTACAGACTCTCTCTCTCTCTCTCTCTCTCTTTCTCTCTCTCTCTCGTCCCCCCTCCCCTTCTTTCTCTCTTCTCATTGTCACACTTGAGAGTTTAATCCCTCAGGGCACAGAATGATCTCGTTGCTAAAGATAATTTGAAGAGGCAGGGATTAAAATCTGTTTGGCATCATCAACATGAATATAATTTATGAAATTAGCCTTAAATGTGTTAAATAATTATCCTTATGTGGTCAGTCATTTGGTACAGCCTTGGCTCAGTAAATAATGAATAGACCAGCACTGTGGATGGTTTGATTTTTCCTCCACCATCAACACATTATAAATGATGACTTGCAGAAAAAGCAAACTGCAGCTTTTATGAAGATGGAAGAAGAGTGATGCTAATTTTGTACCCTTGAATATTTTAAAAGCAAGAAGTATGCTTTTAAGTAGTGTGAAAATCACAACAAGCAAAGCAAAACCCGGCCAACTAAAGCCCTGCATTCTACGTATTCGTAATATACTTAATACCTACAGTATTTCTTTCTCATTTTCTGCAACTGTTGTTCTGTTAACTGCTGCCATTTTGGTGGCATATTTTATGCTTTAACCGTGATGCTTTGCTTGCCTTCAATATCTGAGCCCAGCCAATCAGGAATCACATATGTTTTCATAGTTGGCTGCAAAGTATCACCAGTGAGACTGAAGGAAGTTGTCATCAGCCAAAAGCTATGATACGGATACACTTAGGTTTCTTGCTTATAGCAGTAGGGATTCAAGGAGATGTCTCATTCAGTACACCCTTGTGATGGTCCAGCTGCATGCTGCAAGAAACAGTACCTGTATTCAAAAGCTCCAAATGCACACTTGGAACAATGCACCCTGCTTTACTATGTATGGCTCATTCATTGCCCTAGCAGATCACAGGAGAACTGGGTGGCAGTTGAGTCCCCAAGGCAATACAAATACCAACAGAGCTTGTTTTTAAGACTACAAACCCCATAGCCCCACAGTTTGGAGTTTAACAAGCGGTAGACCCAGAAGGGTAACCTCCCCAGTCTACTTTTGGTTTTCTGGTAATGTACTGTTTTATTGTTCTGTACTTGCATATAAAAGCCTAGGAATGTTATTAATGAGGTGTGTTCTAGAAAACACAGGTCCTAAACTGTGGTTTCTTACTGGTTGGTTGGTTGGAAGGTTGGTTCGTTGGCTGAGTTGGCACTCAAAGCACCATGAAGTTTAAAAACCCACCACTGCACCTATTTTTTCCAAAGCAAATCTCATTGTGTTCAATGGAGCTTATTTCCAAGTACACATACATAGGATTGCAGCCTAGATGACAAAGTAAGCCATTTGAATTAGGAAATCTGATGCATTCCCCCAAAGTTAAACATAATGACCAGTGTCTCACTGGAAATTGCTATGGGCACAGGTAACTTTGCCAGGCAGCAGTAGGGCTGTAGCAGAAGGATGCTTTTAGTGATTATTCCAAAATCGGCCAATTTCCTCATTTTAACAGTCCCCCTTTTGTTAGCTGCAAAAAGGGCATGTAGTTAGCTTTAGGATGGGGGGGTGAGTGGTACTCCTGTACCCCACCCATAACCAAAAATATTCTTCTTAAAAGATTGTTTTCTTTTGCAAAATTTAAGAAGCTCTCTCCTGCCCTCAAGTGGCCAAATAAGTTTTAAGAATATTTACAGGATTTTTGAGGTTGGGAGGGAGCAAGTGTGCTGAGAGGTCAAAATATGCCAGAATTACATTACTTGGAGGGCATAAACGGGAGGGTTTTTTTTAAGCAAAAAACAACAACAAAAAACTTTCACTTGAGTTGTGTGACAACCCCTGGAGTGTCAGGGGCTGCATTTTGGCCCTAGAAGCAACACCCACTGTATGCCACAGTTTGTATCCAAATTTGCCAACTATAGCTTTGATTTGATAGTTTAAAAGAACTATGTTGAAACCTAACATTTAGAATTCCTTTCTGTGAGTGTTCTTTCTCTACCCAGTTATACGTAACAGTTTCACAGGACTTCATCGTAAATAATTTTTAGTTTTATGAGATACTTAGAATCTGTCTGCTAGAGAGTTACAGTGCCATCTAGATGTGCTCATTTTCCAAAAAAACAACCATCGCTACTGAGCTGAAAGTTCCATTGATGTTGCTCCCGTGTTCGCTCCACGATATGTCAACCTTGTAATCAGGGGTGAGCTAAATAAGCCCCTCCAGCTGTTGTTGGACTGAAGTTCCTTTTACTCCTTATCACCATTGATGATGCTGATGAGGGCTGATATAAGTTGTAATCCAAAAAGATCTGGAGGACCACACTTTGCCCCCTTTTGTTTTTTAATGGAGACTTAATCTAAGTTTTTGAAATAGTAAGCGTTGGAATGTGTATTCTGCAAAGGACTCATGGAACTAACACTTATTCTCTTTTGTCACCACAGACGAACCAAACTCCTGGAGCTCTCCCGCTGCCACCTCCCCAGGTCTGCCGGAAGTAACCATTTCCCTTGATGACATTGTCTCACCATTATCTTCATCACATCTAGCCCAACCCTCTGACCCTTCCCACCACATAAACCCAGAGCCAACCTGGGATATTAAGAGGGAACATGAAATGAGAAAACCAAAGGAGCTTTCTGCAAATGGCCACAAAAAGAAAAGGTTAGGAGAGCAAAGAGAGAGGTCTGCGAGTCCTAAGAAGGTAGACAGGTCAAAGCATGAAGAGGCTTCTAGGAAAGGAAGCTCAGAAGCAAAAAGTAAGACCAGCGAAAGTAGCAGGCCAATGTCAGAAAGTAAGGCGGCTGGACTGAACGTGATGGCCGAGGCTGGAGTACGAGATCATGGGTGCGCTGGAACCAATGATGAATTGGCTGGGAGATCAAAGTGGCTGGAAGGCCATAAAGGTAAAGGATGCCTTGGTACAAAAGATGCTGATGTTGCTACAGAGAAGAAATCGGCTGCAGCTTCTGAACACACCAAGATAGATCCCACTGGTGCTATGAAGGCATACAGTAGCAATAGCTGCAGCTCCCATAGAAGTGATGTGGATCACAATCAGAAGGAATTGGACAGGAAGCCCAGTGAGTTCCCACGGAAGGGACATCTCCACTCCATAAACACACGCAGCACCAACACGACAGCTCGGAAGGCAACTGTCTCACCAGGACCATGGAAGATTCCAGGTTCTGATAAGCTACCTGGTGTACTAAAATCTGGCACTTCTGCCATGAGCAGATAAATTTGTGACTGTTGTCTTCTAACTGTTTCACAGTGATGCAGAGCATCCTTCCTAGCTTCTGTCTCACATTTTTAGTTTTATTTATTTTAACAGTCACACACATACACACTCAAAACACTGAGGAATGGAAGCAGTGATGTGTAATTCCATGACAACGTGCATAGCATCTCCATCATTTGATCCAACATGTAGTCACACAGTATTTAAATGTGACCCTACAGTCCCCAGTTTCATTTCAGAGACTTTTGGCAGCTATGGAAGAAACCAAAATAATATGAAGGACAGTTGACTACAAGGACAGTGCAGTGTAGCTTTAGTATGTTGTTTTCCACTGCATGAAGGACTTGGGATTTTCATTCAAACTTTATATCAAGAAACTGGAAGAAGTTAGAGCAATCACAAACTGGAACATCGCCTTAAAATAAAACTGCACGGAGCAAGCTGAAAGTGGAAATAGAATCTTTTACCTGAGTTAAATGTTGTATATAAATTGTTCTCAACATATCCAGATGAGGGTTTGAAGCATTTGAAACTGTACATCCATGACATGTCTCCACTGTTAACACTTCGGAATAGGCCCCTCAGTACCAGTAGCATAATTCATTATGCAAGGTGAAAAACTCTAGTGGATTAGCTGGTGCGATACCATTTCTACTGCCATTTTTTGGGTGAATAAATCATATTTCTGTACGTTAGGAAAAAAAGAGTTAGGGTGGAGTTGTCTAGCCTCAAAAGCAGTCTACCACAGGTTACTCCCTGCCCCTCCCCATATGGATTACCAGATACTACACCCATTTTAACACTGACAATTGCAACATACAGTTGCCTGACCACTATGATATTGAGGGAGATTCTTCAAAGATTCAAAGTTGCGTTTTCCTTTCAGAACAACTTCTGTCTCCTGAAGGAACTCATAACTGTTTCAGCACTTGGTCAGCTTTCTTTTAGTATGACCATTTTTGACTTCTGTTCCGCCATCACACTCTAAGAATCTGAGAACAGAGATCCAAAAAACTCTAACCCACCTTGTTTGTTATGTCAAGGTATATGTTCACCAGGCATTTGTCTTGTGCTTTGCTTTTCTTCTTTCCACAGTCTTTCTTGTGTCTTTCTTTCTTTCTTTCAACTTTCTAATCTCATGTGCCATAAGAACATTTCATTCTGCACTGATGAAATGCTGCTTCTCCAATGAGCTCCATTAGTCCATTGAGAGGTTTGCTAAAAAAAATGGTAAAAATAATTAAAAATCAGCAACAGCAATACAAACAAGAGCAAAAAAAATGCACTCAGTAATAATGTAGTGGCTTTTTTAAAAAAAAATCACAAAGATGGGCATATCTTGGACATGTCTTTAGCAAACCCTCAGGCCATCTGGAGAACACACTGCTCCTTGACCGAGCAAAGTCCAGTTGCTGTTTAAGGTCAATGGACGTTTTGCGTTGGAGAAGAGTGTGAGGAGGTGAGGAGGTGTTAGCCATTTAAGATCTGAAGTGGTGGAAGAGAACGGTATCTTACTAACTCTCCCAAACCATTTCTCAGGGAGAGCAACTGGAATTCCATTTGTCATTCAGGAGGTATGGAGACATATTTCTATCAAAGTAGCTAGAAAAGAGGAATGAAAGGATTTTGCACCTTTGGAAACAAAATGCTTATTTAAGAACTAGTCCCATTATAATTTTTTTAAAAAGCACAAAGATATGTAGCTGTTTACAAAAATATATATATAGTTTTTAATTAAGAAATTAGAGAGATATCTTTATCCCCAATCTAGATATTTGGCATAATTTGCAGTTAATTTATTAAATCTGGATTTTGGATAGAGCATTCCTAATCCAAATGGAAATGCATGTCCGGCTATATTATTTCTTACACATAAGGAACAGGAGGAAAAAATCAATGGGGAAGAAAACCAACCAACAGTTGAGATTATGCTTGCATAAACTCTAATTTGCACAGGGGCCAGCAATTCCTTGTGCAATTCTTGCTATATGCAGCTTAATTGATAACCTGTGAAGACAGCACATCATCTAAACCCCATTCCAAATAATATTTCTGTGTAGTGTTAGCTGTGAATTTACCTTGTACAGCTCTATTGCTATAAATATAATTCCATGTATTAATAGTCACAGAAAGGCTGTAAGTGAGCAACTATTTTTATGAAACGCACCACTATGGATAAATTAACTTTTACAGAAATCTTGTTTACTGTATGATATTCTAAACCACTCAAATAAAATATATATCCAAGAATCTTTTTTTCCCAACTGTTTACACTGTGGAATTTATTATTTGGGGGGGGGCGAGAAAATATCTTAGGAAAGTATTGCTTGCCTTCCACACACACACTGGTGACAAATGCAATATGTCATTGCCATAGAGTCATGGAGACTGCTGGGTCCATGAATCCATGCTGGATTTTATTGCTCACTTTACAGCAGCTATCCAACGTGCCGAACCCAAACCCCTCCCCACACACGAATAGATTCCACATTTCAGAGTTTGGACTAATCTGGAGTGGATTGAGTGCTTCATTGACATCAGTGTCTCCTGTATGCAAATGCTGTTTTCTGTTATGATGAGTGAGCTGTGCATCAGAATGTAAGATGAACCATGGTGGATTAGGCCAAATGCTCATCTTGTCTAGCTGTCTGTTCCCACAGTGGACAAATGGGTGCCTAGAGGAAATCCATGAACAAGACATGAGCACAGGTGCACCTTCCCGTTTGTGTTCCTTACTGGCTCTGATTTGAGGAGAGGGGATGGGCAATATCTTCCCATCATGATTAGCAACCTTTGATAGCCCTATCCTTTTAAAATTTTGTTCCACCTCCTTTGAATTGCACCCATATTAGTTGCCATTTGGCAGTAGCAAATTTCATAGCTACATATCTATAGGCTGTGTCCAATATTGCTTCCTTTAACACGCCTCAAATCTCCCATCAGCTTCCATAGATGATCTCAGCTTCCAGGTCTGAGTTGTGGTGGTGGGAATCTCCTTACCAACTCTCGACGCACCATTGCCCTTTCCCCTTTTCTTCTAAGCTAAATAGCCCAAACAATGTAACTTTGCCTCTTAGGAGAAGTGTTCCAATTGCTTGAAAATGTTGGTTGTCCTCTTTTATACCTTAACCAGCTCTGCAATGTCCCTTTTCAAGTACAGTGACAAGAACAATACACATAGTATTCCAGATGTGACTACACTACAGATTTGTATAGGCAACATAATATTGACAGTTTCATAATTTTTTTAAAAAAATGTTTCCTGGTGTGTGAATCATCTAGAAAACAAGCAAAGAAAAACAAAACTAAACTTGTAAATAGCAGTTGGGATGTTTGGAGAAGATAATCAGGACAACAACGTATCTGGAGGAAGGCCGTATTGTTTTCATTGACAGCATGGTCCCAATTGAAATTACAGACACTAAAATGGTTATTTGTTACAGGAGGGCTGATTTCACTGGTTTGCAACAAACTGAACACACAACAAAAAGATTAAAAGATGAAAGTGGATGCCTTATTCTGCTAGGTCCCTGCACAAAACATGCCTTTTATTCCACCACCACTCACCACCAATTATTATCTCCAAATACAATAATTCCAGTGATTAACAATATGGTACATTATACCAACCTGCTGAAAAACAGCAAAAATGGCTTGTCTTTAAAAAAAAACTTCGGGAAAATAATCAAGGGTTCATTGTCCAAACGGCATTCTAATAGTGTATTGTTATTCTGGTGATGTGCATAATTAATACAGTGTTGTTCCCTCCTGTCACACTGGGCTGTTAGGGCAAGTCTCCTACAGGTTTGGGGAAAAGCAGCAACATAAGCATTTTCCAATGGGTCCAAGGGTTTCCACAGAGAAATAATAGCACAACACAAACTCTACTATGCATGTATGTTTGCACATCCACTTTCCTGCTATGCCTGTATTTCAATAAATAGAAACTTAAAGGCATCCATTTTCTAAGCAGTAGCAACACTAGTAGAGATCCAGCAATGGAGTGAAGAGCACCCTCCATTGGAAACCCAGAGAAGCAGTGTGGGTGCTATGATTAGCTTCCTATATGGTTGTACGTTCACTATAAATTGCCACTGTAATCAGTGAGAGATTGCTTTCAGTCTAGACAGGAATTGGCATCAAGGGTTCCCCTTACCAAGAGGCACATGTTTCCATTTGAGCCATTGGTGGCAGGAATGATAAGCCTCAGTTTTCACTCATGCCCACAAGTGAGAAGACAGGTCACCATGCATCAGACAAACCTACCTTTGGTGCACATCAGGCTTTGAGGTGACACAAATCAGACAGGTGAAGCTGTATCTAGAACTGAACCATGGAAAACAGACCAACATATTTTTAAAGGCTTGTTAAACATGCATAAACCCCAAACCCCAATTAAATTCTCTCTACAATCCAATCCCATACAGATCACCAGTAGATATGTAAATGTAAACTTGCCATTATCTCTGCACAGCAAAAACTGACAGATGCTGCTGCCAGTAAATAAACTCAGTTCTGTCAACAGCCTCTGAGCCACAGGGCTGGAGTAATCCCCTTCCACTTCCCAGCACCTCATCTTTGCTCAGCTCTCCAAGGTGATCATGCATACTGGTGGCTCCTTCTCAAATACAGTATTTCCTTTCTCTTCCTGCTTTATCCTCCACCAGAGCTGATGATTACACTGGCATACATGTCATGGTCCTCATTCCTGCCCACTAGTTAGTTACTTAGAAGGGTACTCAGTATAGCACTATTCAAGTGTGTTGACTCTAACTCGTATCATCTCTAGCCAGCATGGCCATTCACCATAATGGACATCACACTCCAAAACATCTAGAGGACGCAGAGTCAGAGAAAATTGGCTTAAAGTTCAAGGTTAACTATTTGTACCACTTTCAGGATTTGGCACTTAGCTCGTCTTCAAACCCCTCTTTTCGAATCTTGGGAAATAACAAAGGCAGCCGATATACAGCAAATCAACCTGTTGAGTTGACCCAGGGCAATATACTCTTCCAGGTGGAATTTCTCTCAGTTCTTAGGAAAAAGCAGAAGTTGTAATGTAATTTTTTTTAGTTCTGTGTTAGACATCATTATTATTGGAAAGAAGCACATTACTCATTCCTCTTTGCTTGTTACTTTAACACTGGTGCATTTATAATGTCTTACTTTTTAATTATGTTATTGCTTCTATTATTGTTAGTAGAAGAAGCAGTATTTTTAAAAAAAACAGTTAAGAAAAATTTCCACACAAAAGTTTTAGAAGTATTGATTATATGTCTTGATTGATTATATGCTACCAAAAAAGGTAATTCCACGGCTAGACACTTTCAGAACAATAAAAGTTGCTTTGGCCACATTACCCCTCCAAATGGTCTTCTCTTGTTAGAGATAACACCAATGTTAACAGCACATTACTTCCACGCCCTAGGAGGAAGTCATGTACCACCTGATCCTATACACTAGAAATACCAAAAAATTGAACTATAGTACATGCTCAACCACTGACTGCCGTACCTTCCCTAGAGCTCACTAGATATGTTCTCAATTAGCCTTGTCACATTTCTTATCATTTTCTTCCCCACACAACAGCTTTGTCTTCTTTTTCCAATGAAAAAGCAGATGTGTTTAGAGCTTCCTTGCCCTACTACTGTTGAAACAAGCTGAATGTGTCATTTCAGCATCAACACTAGCTATTTCTGGCCAGGAGAAAGAGACACAGAGAGAGGGTTCACAGAGACCGGAACGGCAAAGATTAACTCCCAGCTGCATAAAGGGTTTCCTTTTCCAGACCTGGAAAAAATATAACTTTTTTAACAGCACCTCCCAGAATATCATTGGCCATGCTGGTGAGGAGTTCTAGTCCACAAAGTAACTTTTCCCAAGCTGTGCCATTTTAAGAGCAGCTTGCACACACTGAGCTGAGACAATATAGAGCAATAGGTATCCCCACTGCCACCCACCCATCAGGTGCAATATAGGCAGAATAACAACACCTTCCCAAGACAGCGATGTTTTCTGGTGCTGAAGTCTTAAGCTGTGGAGAGGGGGTGATGTCAATCCTACCCTATTTCAGTTGTGAAGCCAGAATTCTTCATTGTATTCGACAAACAGCAGGTTGACAGACCAACTGGGTAAACAGTGTTAATTCCAGGTGAATAAAATCCGTAGCACTGAGTGAATTCTATGCAGACAGTCAGGCTGATAACCCATTTGTTGGGTCACAGAGCCATCTTGTGGTAAGGGAAACAAAGCATCAAGAGATCAAGTAAGTGAAACCAGGTATTATAAGCACAGTTGGTCAAATGGTAGGACATCAGATCCTGCTAGTTTTAATATTGGAGGAATTAAAACAATTCAACAAATGATATCATTCTTAAATAGTCAAGTGACCACTCCATATTGAAACAAAAGCCTTTTATTTTCAGGTTTCAGTTTCGTGCCCATTGAAGTGGGCAGTAAACCCCTAATGTTGGGGGGAAAGCACTCTGAACAAGCTTAGAAACAAGTTTCTCCAGTTCTAAGTTTTCAGAGATGTTGCCCAAAATAACTGTTTTGCTACACAGCCCAATCCATCACTGAGATGATTCACTAAAACAAGTTTTCTTTTCCCCTCTTTTTTCATGGTAGTGAGGTTGACTGCCCAGGTAAAACCTATTTGGAGGAGAAAGATGGTGATGTGGGGTTTAAAACCATGAAAAACCACTGTGGGTGGTTAAGTAACTTTCTTCACAATTAAATACGTGGCAGCTTATAAAGTAAGCCCTAGTGATGTCAGTGGCACATGTGCTCATGCAAATGTTTATATCCTTTGTGGTCTTGCTGATTCGCTCAGCAGTGGTTTCTCTGCTTGCTGAATCCAGAGCTGAGAAGATCAATGCAGAATGATGACTCTGCTCTCCTAGCAAGTCATCGTTACAGGTAAGTAACCTTTCTCTCTGCTCTCCTAGCAAGAAAAGTTACAAGTCATCAAAAGCAGATGACATCTGAACAGAGGCAATTCAACTCCAGCACTAGAGGTTATCCAATGGACTTTTTAACAACTGAGCAAATATGTGAGCAAACCATCCCCACACTCAGCTGTCTGGCAAGTGGGGAGGGAGAAATGCCAAGATGTGATAGTGTGTACTAAAATAATTAAGGGGGTATAGAAAATGCAATCTTGGAAATGTACAGCATTTCAAAAATGAGGTTTGAACAGCAGTTTGTTAAGAGTAGCTGAAAAACACACAGCTCTCCAGCCAGGC